ACGGTTATTTTTAAAATTACTCATTTAACCATATAAATGAGAGGGTGGTAGGTTTCGATAGGCTACGGCGTGGCCCACCAATTCCACACTGGTCCGGACAAAAGGCCATTCGTCGGTAACCACGTGGGAGTTATAGCTGTGGGCGAAGTGGACTGGAACTTCTCTCCTCTAGTTTTGTCCTTTTGTGGTCCGGTAATTGCAAACAGCAGTACGTCGTCGTTTTCATCCTCTGGACATAGCGCAACATGTAACTAAACGACATCGCATACTTTATTTTTATTAATTATTTTACTATTTCTTTTTCTCCTGGAAAGTATATTGCTTCAGATTTAAAGGGTTAATTAGATGAATATTGAAATGTAAAAGAATCACACTTTTTTAAAGGAAAATATGAGAGACAATGTTTCCCATTTTTAAAAAGTATTTTTAGTACTTTTTTAATTTCTTTTAATTAATGCTAAGAATATTTTTTGATTCGCTAAAAACTATTTTCTACTTCTTTAATATTTATTAAATTTTACTTGAATACGAGTTTTGTAGGTTAGGTAACAAATCAAACAAACTATACTCTAAAAATTCAATTAACAAATAAATTAAAAAAAAAAAAAGAACGTGTGGAACTGCGCACACTGAATCATCCATTATTATATTATTTAAAATTTTTAAATGAAAGACAATATAAATATAATACATAAAAGAAATTGAGTCCCTCTCCCCCTAGACTCGAATACAAAGAATTGTTTGTTTTTTTCTTTCCTGTGTGAAATTAATTAAAACCAATATTATTTTATTGGAGACAAAAGAAGGTTGCGAATCCAAACTTTAGTTTAAAATGGACGCAAATCTAAATATAAAATGAAAATCATAATTAAGAATCTGATGGAAACTATTGTTTATTAGGTACCCAAATGGAAGAAAAATAAATGGGAATCTCATAATGATTTGAAAGAACGTTAGTCTTATTCCCATTTGTGGGAATTAAACAACAAAATTCGTAAACAAATTCTCCTCAACTATATGGTTTTAAATCCATCCACGTTAATAGTACAGTTGTTAGAGTTTTATTATTGGATGTAACGTTAAATAAAGAAAAGACAATAGCAGATAGTCTCAATAATAGTAAGTGGTGAAATAATGAGCATAATAAACCATTGCTACTTTATTGAATATATAAATAATTAATCGAATATATAAATAATTAATCGAATATATAAATAATTTATCGAATATATAAATAATTAATCTCATAAAATTGTCGGCATAATTTCACGTGCCATTAACTAATATTTGTATAAATACAATATTTAACCATGAATTTAGTTCTAGAATTTCTAAAACAAAGTGAGTTATAGTTGATAAAATTATTAAACAATATTTTAATAATTTCCAACCCAAGTTTTTTAATGCGTTTCTTCCTTCTATATAATTAACCTTTTTTTTAGAAATAGCGTATGATCTATATTAATTACTCCAACCCACGTGAATCATCAGAAAATAATTTTATTAACTTTATTATTTTTATTTTCTTTCCATATTTTTAGCTTTGTTTTTTTAAAAATTAAATTATAGAAATTTGTATAGTTTTAATTCCCTCATTTTATGACGAATGAAAATTATGGATTCTTAACTCCTTAGACCAAAAATTTACTATAAGGAAATATATCCGTATAATTTAAAGTATATTTTAAAAAATAGTAACAGTCAAAATGGTATATATTCTAATATAAGTAATATGCTTTATTTATTCACTACTTTAAGAAAATTGCGTGTGAGAATATGATCAAGAAACCACTGTAAATAGAGAAGAGAAATACATTTTGAATAGAATTTTATCTCTGTTGCTATTATGAAAAATACATGAGAGGTGATGACAGATCAAGAAAATAAATGTTATTCTTTTAGTTTATTTTTCTATAATTATACAAAAATAATCTCATCTATTTTGATGTAATCTATAAATTACTTTTATGTTATAGCGTAATTAAAACGTAATTTTTTAAATAGATGTTTGATGTCGTAGAAGTGAAGAACTCAGAAACCTTAAGCTAATAGAAATGGTGATTGCAAGCTGGGCAAACCATATATTATATTAAAGTTAACATTGGAATCATATAATATAAAGTGGGAAAATATAACAAAAACAAGAGGAACATGGAAAACACCGTAGTTATTAATGGTTTCACTTTATTCAAGGAACAATAACAACAACCTAACTGTATTTATATCAATAAATTAAAAATGAATTAACAAAACTTTGGGTTGGTTTAAATGGAGCGGCTTCTTTATATACGCGATTATTAAATAATAAATAGGAATAAAATATTTGTTAATTTTAATTAAATTAAATTAAACAACCGAAAAGGGCGCAGTCTATGATTATATTATATTTGAATGAGTGGTGGACGAGGGGTCGTGTGCTCCACATTTTAAAAAATATTTCAATTAAAACTTTATTAATTGAATAAAGGTAATATAAGCTAGCGGTTAAGAGCTTTGTTTATAATATTTAAATTTTTTTTTATCGTTAATGCAAATACATTAATTGCTATGTTTTATTATGCTTAAATTAAGCAATGAAAAGGCAATTATTGAGAGTATCTAGCAGACTTTGAAGATGAGGAATTCTTAATTTTTAATTTTTTTTTTTTTGTCTTATATGCTTAAGTATTTATTAAGATTAAAATAACCATTTATATCATTTAGTTAAAGGTAAGCTACGTACACCATTTTTTAATGGAATTATTTTTTAAAAATTAGTTAATGACCAAGGTTAAATAATATGTGCATTATATTTTGTAGGTTCCAAGTACTGAACTTGGTCAAACATTTTTATATATATATAAAACATGAAGTGAAGCAAGTAGGGCGTTTGAATGGTCCTTACTCCTTCAAGATTCCAAAGGTCAGGCGGACGAAAATAGTCAATCCGGTGGTGCCATTTTCAATTATTTAAAAATGGGTAATCATGATTTTAGAGAAATAAACACAGCATTCAAATATATGTATATAACTTTTAAACCTTTTAAAATGAATATATGTGATGTCCTACGTTGGTTGGGATGAAAACAAAACACCGGGTACCGGGTGTGGAAACGTTTCGCCAGCAGACAAGTTTTAAAGTCTTAAGGAAAAGTCTGAAAAGAAAAATCCAAAGAGGGCAACATAATATCTATATCTAAAGTGAATGAGATTGAAAGTGAAATTTGTAATCTTTGACAAGTGAGTGAGGAAGAGAGATATTTGTATAAATCTCCCTATGAGAGAGGTATAAAGATTAGCCTTTAATCCTTCAATCTAGTCAATGATTTATATAGGTTAATGAAACTTCGATAGAATGTAGTAACTCATGTGTGTGTTTATTAATAACAATTTGATGTTTCAGTTTCCATAAAACTGGAAAAAGAGAAAAGAAAACAAGTGCTTCCAGAAAAAGAGAACAGCCAAACAGAGCACATGCATTCATCAGGTGGACAAACACCAAAAAGTGGAGGGCAACAAGAGGCAAAGACAAAGAAAAGGAAGGAGAAAGAAAGGTACCACATCTCCAGTATTGGTTGCACCGTCTATTTTTCAAGTTTTGCAACCACAGCCACTCATCCAATTATCTTTAAACTTATCTTCTTCTCTATCACACAGTTTCTTTGCCACTACATATATATTGTGTTCCTATCAAACAGAATTAATGGGATGAGCTCACTTCATTGTTTTTTTCTGTTCCTCAAACAGCCAAGATTGTTCAAAATCTTGAGGCTTAACAAATGATCTGGGTTTCAAATCAAAACCCCTTTTCAGTTGTTGTATGTATATATTAATCTAAAAGATTCAAAGAGAGTGGAGGCAGATCCACTCCCTCCCCACCAAAACCAAAGAGATTCTTTCTACCTAGTGCATTTGTTTTTCACGTTTAGACACTGATAGCCCAACCATTAATATAATGGCCACTTTCTGTCCAAAACGCAAAAAAAGCATCCAACTTTTTTGTAATCACAGGTCAAACAATTGATTCCCATGCCCCTGCTCCTCCCCCAACCTCGCAGAAGCTTCATATACTCCAAAAGATTCAAAAGACACAATCAGATTTCCCACAGAACAAGCTCCACTAAAGGTTAAAGCATTAGAGCCTACATCATTATCAGAGAAGGGCATTGTGGTAAAATGCATGTGTAACATGGGCCATATGCATAGTATAGCAGACATGTGTTACCTTGAATGTAGTGAGTTTATGCCAATAATTAAAAAGACAGTTTCATCAACTTGGAAGAGAAAGGTTTGGTAGTTGAAGAAGGAAAAATCCCCCACATGGGTAGGTAGGCGGAAAAGTTTTCCACATGGTGTTATGATGTAAGGTTTGGGTCATATACAAATATTTAATAAATTCTTCAGTCGTAACAGATCACACAAGCATGATACCTCTGGATTTCACTTTCAGAACCTAATTGGCAAGTGGCCATTAAAATATAGCCAAAACCTCGAAGCTCTGATCTGATTTCCTTTGCTGTTGATTTTTATGGGTTTGCAGCCCAGCAGTTAACCTAAATGAAATATCATTACGTGTATGTGTCTGACTGAAAGGTATGCTAGATGGCAAGACATTCAGGAAAGGAAAGACAGGCTTTCTAACAAACCTGTTTATTTCTACCCTTGTTTTTTTCCCTTTTCCTTGCCCGTTGATGTTGGTTGTCTGTGGTTTTGAATGTTAAGAATGTGTATAAAAGAACAAAAATATTTTAGCCTAAGACTTCAGCATTTTGAATTTAGTATTAAGAGGTAGTTGAACATGGAATAATGTAGAAATTTCATGTAAAGGGTCAAATCAACATCTTTAGAAAAAGTACATGTTGATGCTAACCTGGAGAATGACTCAGTTTTGCTGATTTGGATCTGTGGTTTAATGGCTTCAACAGATAATAAGCTGAAGCATATTGCATGACGATTGGGCTCCCTACTTCCATTCTAAACGTTCTGACTTTGTTTTACCTGGAAAATACTTCCAATTGAGATATAAAAAGAGAGAAGTACCTTAAGTTCATTTGGAGAAAAGAATGATGTTATATTTAGAAATTTAGCACAAGCATTGAACTGGCGTTGGATTATACGTGTTCGTGGACAAATCAACTCCAACCAAAAAAAAAAACAAATCTCCAACTGATCTTGTGCTCACTAAAATGTAAAAACAATGAAGACAAAAGGCAGTCCCAGATCTTGAAGACATCGAATCATCAATCATCACCGCAACTTTCATTGTCTATAGTTCTGTGTCACAAAATCGTTTCATCATTTCAGAGACCATCCTCCGGGCAAAAGGAATATAGCTCAAAGTATACCTGGAACATAATAAACCGAGGAAGTCATGGCCGAATCTAGTTTCGATTCAAGATAGGTCTCGCAAGATATAATTGAACACATTTTCATCCAGTGGGAAAGTTTTCATCCTCTAGTTTTAAATGAAATTTGAATCGAATGGAGGAATGCCAATGATAAAGGTAAACGTACCATATGAGTGCACATATCTCACTTATCATTGCAATCACTGTCAAGATCTTATTGTGGATCTGAAAAATGAATAGCAAGGAAACTCATTTAAAAAACTAAATATGAGGCATTAACTGTTTGCAGAATTCCATCCCAGGCCGATACATGCTTTATTTGCTAAAGAAAAACAATGCTAGAACTGTATTTGGAAACCTTGTGGAACAGATGAAGAGGGACCTAATTGGAAACGCCATTAGTACTGTGTTCCACAGATAAATTGAAGAGTGTTCATTGAATATCTCAATGCCTTAGTAATTTAAGTCTGTTTTCCCTTCTAATGTCATATAGTCAGAATCGTTACGTACCCCGAGAGCACATATAAGAGATAGAACAACACATCCCAGGTAAATAGCTGTCGCATAAATACGGACAGAATCAAACATCAGTCTTATTTGTTGCCCAGGTCCAAAGAGGAAAGCTGTGCTGCCAAATAAGATGCAATTTAGAATATCAACACCTCAATGAAAAGGAACAACATATTGAAAGTACATTAAAAGTTTCCCCCCTCGATTATCTTCCTTTTGTTTGTACACAAATAAGCTTCTTCTTGAAAGAATATGAGATCGAAGATAACAAGAAGTATTAGATGCAAGCCAGAATGCCGTGGAAGTGAACAAAAGTGCGCCTCCAAATAATAATTCTTAATTGCCGACACATGTAGAATGTAACAACAATTTAATTGGTTGTACCTTCCGACGGCTAAAACATTGCCAAATGTAAATAGGACAGCAAATTTGAGTGGCTTAGCAAAAACAAGCAATGACTGCAGAAAGAAGAAAATGTAGCAAACGCATCAAATGTCTCACTTAATAAACACGATTTCAGATAACGAGCAAAATAGAAGTCAACGAAGCTGGGCTATGTTCATCTAGAATCATAAAAATAGAAAAGAACGCGAGATTAAAAAAAAGTAAAAAATAAAAAATTCACTGATGAAGAAAAAAACTCCAGAATGTCAATCGCCTGCAATTTACTATATTGGTTTCTAACACTCTTAGATTTGACTAGTTTTGGTTGACTTAATAAAGGTTGAGCGAGAAGAAAAATTCCAGAATTTTCTAGAGACCAATAAGCTTTGTCAACTCCATCCCACAATCTAAGAGTGTCAATCGCCTGCAATTTACTATACTATTGAGAATTAGCTTTAACCCTCGAATTGTCCCATTGTTTACTGATTGTGATAATCCAATAATGAACAAAATTATCGTTTGTGACTCCTGCATTCACTAGTACCCCAGGAGAATGCCTTCACTGCATTAACCCATATGGTTTTAGCTTTCTTCTCAATTCTGCAGCTCGATAACAATTGGATAATATCCTCTTTGAGTGACTTGTCAAGAACCTAGGTGCACTGCATTTTATTGAGATGAGATTCGCAACACAGCTTACAAAGGACAAACTAACTGGATTTTTAAATCATATATCTCCTATGAATCCCTCCCCTGAATTTATACCATCATGCCATAATGTCCACATAAAGAAGTTGACTTCTTTAGGGATTCTTTCCTTCTAGATTGCTGTAGACAACTCCTTTCTCAATACCCATTTCCGGATCAGTTATGTCCTTAGTGGTTGTCATGTTCAAAGAACATCCTCCCAAGCTTTACTTATTGTCATTTTCTATCTGGTGAAGCTACAAATACCTTAAAAATCTTGCCAACAGAGATGACTCCCCTACCCAGCGGACTCTATAGAATAAGGTTCTCCTTCAATTTGCCACCTCAATGCCAGCTAATCCTCTATAAATCATCTCAGTTTTGTAATATTGGACCATGGACTTTGATAACAGTAGTCCCCAACGCTCCCTACTTATAAAACATCCTTGGTATTCTCCCTTATGTACTGGATAGAATCCCATTCCACGATTCATCAAAGTCAGAAAGCCGCCATATCCATTTGATATGATCCTTTTCTATATGGTGAAGCTATAAACAACCTTAAAAATCTTGCCAACAGAGATACTACTCTACCCAGTAGTCTCTCTAAAACAAGGTTTTCCTTAAATTTGCCAAATCAATGCTAGTGAATGCCTCAATAAATCATCTCAGTTTTGTAATATTAGACCATGGACTTTGATAGCAGTAGCACCCAATCCCCCTTACTTGTAAAACATCCACTTACTCTCCCATCGATTCATCAGAGTTGGTAAAAGTCGCCATATCCTTTTGATATTTATTGTCCTACTTTCTTCCTTAAACCCAATCAAGAGTCCCCCATTTTCGATTGGTAGAAACAATCTCCCAATTGACCTGGCGACTTAATTTTTCTTTAGTATTCCCTTCTTAAAGGAAATTCCTCAGCTTTCTATCCAAATTCAATCCCGGCTTCCTTCTTTGTTGTGTTTTCCAATTTATTCTGGAAGCCTCAAGGACCAACCGGTGGATAGTTAGATAATATAAATCCTATTAAATTCCAAAATAATAATGGAAATAAAGAAAACCTCCCGTTACCAATCCTACCCAGATCGTAACTTGAGGCTCAAATCTAAAATTGTCATCAAAGTTCCCCATATACAGAAGATGCATATCACATAAACACATATGAAATTGCATTAGATGTAGAGGTAGGTTAAATGTTCGTTCATACCAAAATCATGAAAACCACGCCCCCGATCAAGCAGCCTCCAAAACCGTAAAGTCTCTGATCAGCAAAAGACCAAAACAGTATGAAAACCGAACAAAAAGAAAAAAAACAAAAAGAAAAACTAGAGCAAAAGCCATAAGACTTTCCACAAGCGGAGCTCTGTGGTGGTTGTTTGAAGTACCTGTACAGGAGTTAGGGAGCATAGATCTTCTGAATCTTCATCCAACAAGCTCTGACCACACTCTTCGTCGTCGACAAATACGTCTCGGCTGGAATTCCTCCACATTTTGGAAAAAAATCCAGAAATGGGTGACCTCACGTGGTCTTCAAAGGTGGGTGACGACGCCGGACCTCCCCTCTGAGGTGTAAATAGTTTGACTTGTGGGACGGCGATTGATCGTCGATAAACTAGACCCACTTGGCGCCACACAAATCACCCAATAAAAGCAAGTTATTGTAAAGGAAATTATTTTAAATGTGTTTTTAGTTATTATCATCCACACAAAATTATGAAAATGTGAAAGAATAATAATTTAAACTAAAATTATGAAAATGAACTAAATAATAACCCGAAGGGGACGTCGGAAGAATTTAAAGAAAGAGCCCCAGAATGAAACAGCGAAATCTGAAGGGGCCTTCTTTCGGAGGAATTATGTATAATACAAACTCCGATGCGAAGCTGCGCCTGCAAGCAACAGAAGTTGAAGCTGGAGCTGATAGCGAGGGAGTGAGGTGGGTGGGTTAACATGTTGTCTACGCTGCTAGAGGTGATCCGCGCGTCACACGAGAAGGTAGTGCGACTCGAGCGGCTTATAGTGAAGGAGCTCCAAAATGAGCCTGCTTCTGTGTGCAGAGCCACCTTCTTGCTGGTCCCCTTATGTTATCGTTGCTTTTTGTGCAGGTAGAGATTCATGAAGACAAGGATAGTGCCAGGAAAGATGAGATTGCGGCACTTGGAGGGCAAACAACTTCAGGAACCAACGTTTTTAGTGCATTTCATGATAGACTGAATCAGATGATCATGAGAACAATTCTCATGGTGAACCCTGTAATCTCTCATTAAGGAGTTATCAAGTGGCGACATATACTGATCTGCAACTCCAGGGATTGATGTAAGAATCTCATGTATTTCTCTACTAACTTCTATCTGAATTTCTCTCTACTGAATGCTAGTTGAATGAATACAGATTACAAAAAGCAGAAGCAAATTATACTCATCCTCACCTTGTAATGCTTTTTTAAAACCTAAAATTTTGAGGAATCATGTTCTATTCCCATGCAGTAACCATTAATGTGGATTGAAGAAGATTTGCTTGTTTACCAACCACTAGATATAAATTTAGGATGGATCTTTACAATGAATTTGGTTACAAAATTTGAGTCTAAAAAACAATCGTCATTTGTTATGGCTTTCATGCAGGCAAGATCTAGTAAATAAAAGTGCAGATCCATCTACAGATCGAAGAATCAGGAGCCTGGAGTCCACATATGTCCCACAGATAAACTTCGACAAATCGAACAATGCCGGTGGAACTTGTGTCCGGACTTCCCGAGTTACATTTCTGGCAGCATCTATGTCTTCGCTCAGCGGAATGTCGAGACTCATTGTCAAATCAATGTCGCCTGAAATGAGCTTCACTGCTGGGAGGCTGGATGGAAGCTCCTCAAAAGGAATCACCTTCCTCCATCTCGTACTGGACAACTTCTGAGCCAGCACATGCTCTGCATTGGATTCACCAAAAGAAGGCTGACCAAGGGCAACAGTGTTTTCTTCCTTCAGGTACAGTCTTCTTCCAGCTTGTATTCTGGAGGAAGAGTTAATTACTAGTTTACCGTTGATGCCGATTTTATTGTGGGACCAGTTACGACCTCTCATGACTGTGAAGTTAATGTCTGAGGTCAATGAAAGGCGATTGTTTAGCTTAGAGTCTCTAGCAACTGTCAAGCACACATCTCCGATAAGAACTCTAGCGGGAGGTTGACGAAGGGTGAGCCCGATGTGCCTCCCAGTTGAGTATAAGAAACGCCACTTTCCTGGAATTAACTCCTGCCAATGCTGTATAGAGAAAGTCCAACATAAGCAGTTAGATGCTTACTCCTTGAACATAGACATAACAGGGGTCATTTTACAGCATATAGTTTGCAGCCCATATGGGATATGTGAACCGAAGATATCAACACAAGTTGCAGTTTTCAGGCAAGGTGATGCGTGTAAATATGTTCATATGCAGATGTTAACATAGATCACCTTTGGTTTTGAATGAGGAGTCAGCATCTCCATCAACTCAATGAAGTGGGAAAGCTTTCTTCGCTTAATCATAGAAAATAAGGAAAAAGAAACACTAGTTAGCAACCTTGTAAAATTCAAAATGTTCTTAGAGAGAGAGAGAGAGAGAGAGAGAGAGATAAAACAGGAAGATGATGAAGAGATCTATTATGCACAAACCTGAGGTAGGCTGTAAATATATTCCTCCGTAATTCGGACTGCAGTTGAACCAAGGCCCCATCTAATAATTTCCATTGATGGAGCTATCCGCCATCTCGGTCCACACAGGAACGGATGCCTGAGAGCCTCTAAGCAGCTGCAGGAAGGTTCAGTTATTTATTTATTTCGAAAAAGAAACAAACTTCCCATTGAAAAGCTAAAGGTTACACAGAAGAAGAGTTCCAAATGATGACCCGAAGCCATTATCTATCCTTAGTTACAACAAAGCCCTTACCATCTCCTAATGTATAACTTCCTAAATCCCAACTAGTTACCTTATTCTTTTAGAAGGTTTGTTTGCAAGTAACAAGGACAGAAGGTTCCATCCTGCGCCCCAATTTCTATCAAGTATCTGCACGATAAATGAATCAAAGATCTGCGCATACATTGTGGAGAAGTGATTGCATGAAATTTATAAAATAGATATTTACTTGAAATCCGACATTTCCAGATGATAGTCTATGGTTGAGGACTCGTAACAAATATTCACGCAAGCATGAAGGATCGTGGCCCTATATTTCCACATCAAGTAAACATGGTTACATAATTGAAATAAAACACAAGTACTAAATGTTAAAAGTTCGTCCAGTGGCAGATCTTGCCAATGCAGATTCCTGTGGAAAAGAGGTTCTGGAGTGAAAAAGAAATGCAATTATTCAGATGTTATACCTTTGAGAAAAACAATTTAAACTTTGTGAATATCAATGGGTCCATGAGTTCCTGAAAAACCATCTTTGCCATCATGAACCCCACACATCTACACCGTAAGTGGAAAAAATATCAAGAAGACTACCAAGAAGTTCTAACAGGAAAACAGAGTCTAAACAGTAATTCCTTTCTCCAACAATACCTCATGTCAAATGCAATCATCATCTGCCGTCGATCCAAGTCATTTACGGTAGTGTTATCATTCTCAGCATTTTCATGGAAGTAGGCTGCATTTCCCAAAATTCCAACCTGATAAAAGAAATCCAGGATGAATATAAGATGTGAAGGACAGTAATCTGTTGGTTCATTTCTTGAACATCAAGTTAGTACATTAATAGACGTAACTGTTTCATATAACGTTTATTCGTTATCATTTCTTGATTAAGTAAACTAAAGCACATGCACAATTTTTACTGACTACGCAAGAGTAACCAAATCTAAATCACAAACCATACGCGCTTAGAACGTCTATTCACAACTTTAATCAGAAAGGACATCATGCCTTACATATTTCAGGAGCTGTAGACTAGTGTAGATACATTCAATTTAATTCATCAATCATCTAGCTCAGTAAAAAGTAATAAAGTATTATCCTCGATGTTGCCAGTTAATACCAATGATAGGCCTTATCAGGCTTCGGACTATGGATGTCTGATTTATAAATAAGAGATTACTACCACGGTCACAAATAGAAATGATATAAATGGAAGAGAATTAGCCTATTCTACTTGGTATCATACAGAAGAAAGTGTACTTACTTTGACATGTCTATCAACTGGGCTTATGTGAACATTTTCCAACCTCAATTCAGTATGTGCAAGCCCATGGCTGTGCAAGTAATTAACCTGGGGCAAATACAAGGAAGGCATCAAGAACTAGTGTCACTCTCAGTTTTATGGATACCCAACATTCTATAATTCACCTACTCCAATCAAGAGATCCCTCATCAATACTCGTATGAGCCGTGAGTGGCGTGAAACTGCAGGTCCTCCAGTGGTAGTATCACCAACCTTTCTGACAGACTCTTCATCCAGTGCAAGAGTAGCTTCCAGTGTTGGAAGCCAATCTGACTGTTGAAGCCAATGCCTTAAAGAAAAACTACCATGATGCTACAATTGAAAGCAGAAAGTCTGCATTAACATTACTATCCAAAAATTTCACATGAACAGAACCATCTAAAAAAAAAAAAAACAAAAAGAACTGGAAGAAGTCATATAAAGCAATAAAATCTAATAAACAAAGGTCGGTAGTTCCAAACTCTTGGCAGAAAGAGTGCGTAAATCCTACATTTAGTTCTAGCTGGTACAAAAAATATGTTCATGACACTAGTCGTTCATGAAAGTTGGGTTGATAGGGTTGCTAAAGGTGATAGTTTCATAGGAAACTTTAGAATGGCAAAAAAGTTGAATGCTACAACCAATTTGAAGTAAACAAAAATGTATCCATAAACTTTAAGAAGACCAAGTATTGGAGGCACAAGAATCCATGTAATCTAACAACTATGCACACCTACCCCATGGACCAGAGTAAATGAGGAGTGGCCGTTGCTCATAAGTGAAGATATGTAACCATGAACTTGCATTGAATAGGAGTGATACATCAGTCTGCGACGAGCCAGTTTCTTTAATACCTAACCACATTATTATGAAACAGAGTCAAGTACAATATCTTATTATTCGTTTGTAAGTCTTTTTACAAGAAAATATGGATAAGAGACAAACTTCTATAGCTCTTTTTCCTCTACGCTGAGCCTGGGTAGTCTTGAGCCTTCGAAGCACGACCTTTGTGTTGTATAAAGGGCTACAGTAAAAGAATCCTAGTGATTAAGACTTGAATTATTTGAAGAATATGAGGTAATAAAACAGAAGTAACTAACCTAAGGCGATTCTTCACAAGTGCTTCAAAAACTATTTCATCCGCCTACCACAGTATTGCACACATGTCAACAAATTGTAAGAGAAAGAGAATAGTGACATCATTAAAAAGGAAAAAAAATTTCATACCCGACCTCCAAGGCCTGTGCTGACACAATCGAGAATCTTGAAATCAGACATCTTGAATCTGATGACATGTTCCAATTCCTCCTCCATGGATACCGATAGAGGACCCGGAGCATTGCGCTTTGATTCTGACACAGAAGCATCTTTTCGCATAGATGAACACGGTAATTTTGAACATCGCGCCCAGTTTGAACTGGGATTTTTCCCCACAAATTGCACTTGAAGAGGCCCAATCAGTGTAGTCGACAGATTATCCTTAAAACAAACACCCATCGCCCTTTCAAAAATTGGGTTCGGAGCCTTTCCATGAAGTGACCCCATAGATCACAGCTTCAGCCACTGACAAAGAAAATCCAATTGAGTAAGTCCCGACCTTCAGAATACATAATCACAGTTCTGAAAATGGGATTAAGAAAATTCCCGCCATTAATCAGACGGTGGGAAGACGAAGCCCAATTACGCACAAATATAGCAATCAAAGTTGTCTCATCTTGTTTCCCATCGTGCCAGACAGGCCATATGAGACGGAAAAGGGAACATTGAGATTGCTTAACTCTTCGGCAACATAAATAACAAGACATATACAACTTTCAGTTTCAGCAAAAAAGGAAGAATGCATTCATCTGAAGCTATTGAAGCCGATCGCTATAAGGAGAGATTCCAACTTCAGGCGACCGAATCAGTTCAAATTAAAGTAATTAGAAACAAAATTCATGCAGAACATCAAAACAACTCTAGAAATACACATTTCCGACTCCAATATACAAGAACGAGCAGTCTGAGCAGAGAGTAAGAGAAGTGGTGGACTTACGGAAATGGAGCGAGATGGATGTGAAGATTCGGGAAGGAAACATCGAAAAATTATATAGAAGAAGAAGAGCGTGAAAGTTGCGTGGAAGGAAGAGTTGAAAACGTTGCTCCATGAGCTTTCCTCGCTCTCAAATATCTGAATCTCTTGTTTGTTTGTCAGACTTTCTCTGCCCATCTTTTTTAACGGTGATCCATTCTTTTTCTGATCACTCCCGCTCTGATGTTTACGCGTCACCACTACTTTGGAATTTATTTTCTCTATTTTATCGCTCCCTTCCGGCTTCATGTACAATTGTCTCTACTGGATCCCTATCGTTACTTTCTTCATTATCTTCATATTTCCTAATATTTTATTTCAAGTTAAAATACAAATTTAATGAAGACTTTCCAGAAAAAAAAAATTCTCTATAAACATCCTTTTATTAAAAATATATTTACATAGTATATTTATTTTTTTCGTGAATTTTAAACCAATTACTATTCTAAAGATCGATGATTTGATCTTCCATTTCTATGTAACATATTCGCGGAGATAACCTTTTTTTTTTTTTTTGTAGATAATTTTGAAACCGAAAAAGAGAATTGTGGAAACAAGAAAGTAGAACACCATGGGTCAACATTGAAGTAACTATTAAGTAACTATTAAAATTTACATGAATGAATGCCCTAAACCAGAACAGAACCCAGCTGATCAATGTGTAGCCTACCCTTTGTTAAGGTCTTAGGTTTTGAAATAAAACAAAACAGAAGAGTGTGCGTATGAGAACAAACTGAACAACTTTCCTTTTTCCTGTTGGCTGCAGAGAGTGAGTTAGCATCTTTGAGGAGAAACAATGAATGTGATGTGTGTTAAGGTATCCATCCTAATGGCCTAATTCATGAACTTTCGACACTTTCGAGCTTTACATAAACAGGGGACCTTGAATTCATCGGGTTCGTCGGGATCGAACAAATAATCGTACCTGTCCAATCCAAACAACACTTTGATTTAGAATCAATCATACTCTATCCAAGAGCGAGCATGTGCACGTGTGCATGTATATGTGTGCGAGAGAGATAGAGACGTTAGCTCTTCGCCAGCGGGGACATTAGCCTTGGCAATGAGCACAATCCGACTTTCTTCGTTGCCCACACTCATGATCCTTGCATAGCAGTTGGGCACACACTGCACAAAGAATTTAGGACACACACACACATGAAACCAAGCATTAACCGCCTTATAACAAAAGTTAATTAAGCTAGACTGCAACAACTTACTGAATGGTTGATCAAGCGTGCTATATTTCCTTTGTCGGTGGCATCGACAACTACTTCTTCGCTGATCTTAAAAAGCTGTCAGAAATATCACGAGTCGACAACAGTATAAGTTGATGTACTGTCATCAAATTAATGTACAAATACTTGGGGGCGTTTGAATCACAATTTTGTGTAGTAACCTACATTTGTGAGTCTTCAGATTATGTAAAACTGGATAGAACACTTTACATACAAACTTAGGTTTGTGTAATTTATATTTAGTTTGTAAACTCTGGGTAGAGCTTGAAAGGAAGAGTCAACATAAACATACATAGCAGTCTTTTCCTGCCAATCTGTACCGTGCCTCTCTTAGATCGGCAACAGTGCGCCTCACCTGTTCCCCACGATATTCAAGAACCTGCAAAAATTTTAAAAACAAATGGTGAACCTCAGTCCAAACATGCATTAAATAGGACTGTTATCATGATTTTTCGGTGGGAGATGGGAGATTCGAACCTCTTGATTGGAGCATATGTCTTAACTAGTTAAGCTAAAAGTTTTTCATATATCTTTCACCTATCTATTAGTTCTTACAATATGATCTCATTGAGCATGCCAATTCACCTCATAAGGAACACATCCTAACCAGAGAAAAATTCACAAAACAGTACATGGGCATAATCTCATTTAGCATCTTATTTATATGGCTCTATACCATTTCTCCTTCTTGAATGTTTCTACGTGCAAAAAGCCCCCATCCATGTATACCGGATCTACCAAAGCATACCCGATCGTTCTCTGTTCTCTGGAATCACACACCCATATGAGAAAGAAAGTCAGATATCAAACAAGGATACTTTCATTTGTGGAGAGTGAGAAGGAAATTACCTGTAAGTGGTACAATCGATCCCGAAACGAGGAAAAGATCTTTGGTTCCTCTACCATCGGTAACTGTAATGCAACAAGAGTAAATATCATCTTGTTCTAAGCGGAAGAAGGGGGTCGAAGAACTTCAGCATATACTTAAAATGAGGATGAACTTTACGCTGAATGTATTAAGGCTTTGTAATTCTTGTAAGGGATGATGGCATGGCCCCATCACTTTGTGTATAACGGCTTCCTCGACCGTCCTCTAGTAACAAGAAGAGTATAAAGAGCCAATGTCAGTAACTAGAGCAATCTAACAGCAAAGCAGATATGCAGAACATGGAGTACCTTACCTTCTTCACGCTAGTTGATCTTTTATAAACCTGACACCTTGCAGCAGAAAATGGCTGAAGCTCAGAAGTTTCAGATACTTGTTCTATTTCCTTTGTATTAGATGAAATTAATCTTGAACCACCTCTCTTTTTATTCTGAAGAAGGCTTTTAGTAGAAAATACCCCAAGAGAAGTCTGTATGATAAGAACAGTATCCGGATTGGGAGCCCTAACCCATGGTGAAATGATGAAAAATTACACAAGACGTGATCAGAAACCAAGCTTCATGTAGAAACAACAACATCTTTTTCCTACAATCCCAAATAAGAAAGCAATACCTATGATAAGCACAATAAGATACCATTTTTGTGATTTGTCTACCATTTTTCTCCAGGCAGTGCAACTGCAAAAGCACAAGCAATTTGTTGGATTGGACATTCAGTCTTGCTAAAACATTACATGTGAAAAGGCTAACACTTATGACGTTATGGATTCGAGGAAGGGGGGCGGGGGATTATTGTTTGGAATGGACATCTATCAGGATTGTTTCAAATATTCGTCCAATTTACAAAACAATAGGAGAAACAATTTATAACTTCAAGTACCAACCACAGCACAGATTCCAAAATAGGCGAAACAGTATAGAGGTAGGTAACGATCAGCGCTGAAGCTCGGTCATATGAAGATTGAAAGGTAACATACCATCAATTTACAGGTTACAGAAAAACAAGTGGCAGGACAATGACGAGTACCTCCATGCAATAGCCTGCTCTTGATGCACACATAGCATGGTAGTAAGTAGAGCACTTGCAGCATTGCATGCATGAACCGTGAATTTGCTTACAGATAACACAAATCTGGAATTCATGAAGACGAGTATTTAGTGAAGATTAGGAGAAGTAAAGGAAAAAGGGAAATCTTAGCAGGAACCTCTGCAAAGCACAATTGAAAAACTATAGACATCGAACCTTTACAAAAGAATTTGACGGGATGCACAAGATACCAAGAGCAGGTTCCATTTTCTCATCACTGGCAAACGAGACTTCGGGTCGAAACCAAGCACAGGTAACATGGACCCATAATGTGTCGACATCAGTGGGCTTCAACGCACCCCCTATAGTATAAAAATTATCAGCTACAGGGCAATGATTTAATACTGGAAATAAAAATGTACATGATTTGTGCAGGCAGTTAAAAAATCTAATACAAAACTAGTTTGATCCACAAAATGTAGAAAACAAAACCTTTTACTGGACAAAGGCAACATTCCCGCTTAACATCAGGAGTTTCACACACTTTACAGACCCAAGATGTCAAATCCCGAACATTTCTAGCTCCATAGCATTCTTGATGAACTGCTATCTGACATCTGATACATAAGTTCCCACCAAAGCATCATTGATAATATATTTACAGAAACAGATTTGTTTTGAACAAAGAGATCTAAGAAAACAAGTTATTTCAGTCGGCTGTCTGGCCTCAAGGGGAAGTATGGGGCTTTTGACCTGAATTATATTGCATTTGAAAACAAGTGATGAGAAAAATAGTCATTTTTTACAATACCTGTTGCATATAATAATCTTATTGTAGTCCCAATCTTCAACCCATCTACAAACGGCACATCTCTCTGTTGTCCACTTTGCATAAACAGGTTCATATTTCTCTGAGACAGCAAGAACGGTGAAGTTAGTTTGGGTTATCAATACTTGGTAGGCTACTGTAGCACTACACAAACTATTTTACCCAACAAAGAATATTACATCTCAAAAAGAGGGGCAAATGAAAATTCAGGTATACCCTGCAGAAAAGCGAGCAGCTTTTGCCTTCGCTCATTCGTGGAAGACCGTTTAGGGTGCTTGACAGAAACAACACTTGCATGGTACTCAGCTACTTGCAGCATCTGCAGGGTCAAGTAATATAGCATTCGTTTTAATCTATGAAACAAGATTATTTAGAACTAAAAATGAAAGCACAATGCACCTACTGGTGAATAAAACTAAGCTTGGACAGAATGAAAATTCATTGCAACATACCTGACCTCGTGTGAATTAGAAGGATCAAGTATTACTTATTGTACAGGTATGAATCTGTTAACTAAAAGATTATGGTGCCCTGAAAGTCATAGGAGGGGCCAAAGCAATATGCATGAGTGAAATGAAGATCACACTTACCCATTGTTCTAGGGGCAGCATGGAACCTTTTACCCTCACACTCATCTTCCAATTCCTTGACTTCGATCCAGTATGTCGTTCCCACTCAATAAGTGCTTGTTTCTCCGTCCCACAAGACCCACATTTGCACACAACTCTGCAAAGAAACAGAAAAGGTGAACTTGCATCATGTGAGTAATAATCAATACCACCTCGAGTTCCTTAACACCTCCTCCCCAAAGAAGGAAAAAAAGGGACTAGAGTGAGTCATAAGCTTACAGGTGAAGGCTCGGAAAATAAACGCCTTCCACATCATTGCAGAGCACAGTAACTTTGTTAGAACGAATCATTCCATCATTACTTGTCTTCCCTCTGTGAGAAAAACTAACAATCATCAGAAGCAGAACCTCCCAACTTCAGTATTGCAGAATTAACACAAAACCAAAAGGTTGAACCAAGTAATAATCATAACCAAAGATATTTTATGAAAGAAGATTAAGAGAAAATAAAAGCTACGTTGAGTTACTTGATATTGGGTCGTGATTTCTCTGAGTCGGATAGTTCAAAATCAAATTTTGCTTTGCATGTAGGGCAGAAGTAATCTGTACTTCCCAGATCCTGAAAGAACCAAATTACTTAGTTGTGGGAAGATCAGAGAGAGAGAGAGAGAGTGATAGAAAGGAACAAACCTTGAAGAGGTTGCCTGAAATTTTGTCACAC